GTGTGAAGAGGCTGGGGGTGCAGTCTGGGGAGAATGGGGGGGGAGCGGGCTGGGGGCACAGGGTCTCAGCTGGAGGTGCTATGAGTGAGCAGGCTGGGGGTGTGGAGTCTTGGCCAAGGGAATGTGTGAAGGGGATTGGAGGAGGGAGAACATGTCTCCTGCTCTTCTGGAGCACCAGGAAGCGGGGAGACCGTGTGGGTCCTGCCCCCTAGAGCAACATGGAAGGAGGGGGAATGTGTATCTCTCACCCCCTGCAGAGCACCATGGCCTGAGGAGGAGGAGGCCGTGCAGGCTCCTGCCCCACTAGAGCAACAGGGAGAGAGAAGGAAAGAGGGAGCGAGAAGGTTGGTGGCTAAGGGTGGAGCAATGCTGCTCCTGCCCCACTAGAGCAACAGGGAGAGAGAAGGAAAGAGGGAGCGAGAAGGTTGGTGGCTAAGGGTGAAGCAATGCTGAGTGACACGATGACATTACTCTGTTGTCCCAAAGGAATTTTTTTGTAACGTATAGAGAGACAAAACCAAACAGATATATCCTGACTTGAAGGTTTGTATAACCTTTAAACCTGGGAGAGGACATTTTTTACAGTAGACTTAGGGCTCCATGAAAATGTTGGTTTATCGTAGTATCATAGAACATTAGAACTGGAAGGGATCTCAAGAGATCAAAGTCTAGTCCCCCACCTGCATGGCAGGACCAAACACAAGCTATGCTGGAAGATATCTTCCAGTATAGCGTATTTCAAAACAGTGCATCTACACATAAAAAGCGCATGAAAATAGCGCTTTATTATTTTGAAATAAGAGTGTCCACACTGATAGAATGTGGAAGTAGAGGGCAAAATTGTGAGAGATGAGGCCTCTTGTCTCCTCCTGAGGCAACAGGACTTCCTCGTCCCTTTGAATCTGTGCAGAGGTAAGCAACACGGGCCTGGCTGAAGGTTTTGCGCTGAGGCTTAAACCTGAGCTGTCTGCCTCATTAACAGCTGCTGCAGATTCCCCAATAGCTCAGCTGGTAGAGCAGTGGACTTGAACGGGAGGACCATGTGGAGGAGGCAGTGCTCATGTAGATCTGTCTGAGGGTGTTAGGGGGACCACTCCAAGATTTTGGTTAAGGGCCGCACTCTTCCATGATATTAATGGAGGAGATGCAGGGTCTGGGATGGAAGTTGGGTGCAGAGAGGAGCTTTGCGTAAGGGATTGGGGAGCAGGAGGGAGACTGGAGTCTGGAGGATCTGGGAGGGGGTATGGAGGCAGGAGGGGGGCAAAAGGTTTGGGTATGTTGAGTGAAGGGAAGAGAGATGGGGAAGGGAGAAGCTGGGGTGCCAGAGGCAGGCTGTGACCAGGAGACTTACCAGCCAGCAGCCAAACCAGCCTGCCTGCCTGCAGAGCTAAGACTTGCAGAGCTTAAAATGTTTCCTAGCCAGCCAGCCTGCCTGCTTGCCTGGCCATCTAAATAACTGAGCCAAGGAGAGGGGGCATGGTTCTTCTTGGTGCCTGTTATTTCAACAAGCAGTTCTAACCAAAAACCGGCCAATGGGATTGTGCTGGCGGCAGGGCATCTCCTGCAACTTCTCTCCTCCCCTCCAGTTTTAAAACCGAAACGGAGCCCTGCAGCCGTGTTTCTGCACAGCATGCGGGACTGCGGGGCAAGCAGCTGAGACTGCCTGGGGCTCCCCACTGCCTCCATGAGCCGGATCCGGTGGCTTGGTGGGCCAGATCCAGCCCGTGGACCGTGTTTTGCCCAGGCTTGATCTAAGTTCTCTCTACAGGTGTGGGATTTGTTTTGATGGACTCTTGAACCTGACCCTGTCTAAGTAACTGAGGATTGGGTAGAATGTATTGTAAATGAGTTAATCATTGTACATTCAAACCTATTAGAGTCAATCTCTCTGATTCCCATTGGGGCTGGAAAAACCTTTATCTGTGTCTAAGTCATCAAGACGACAATCATTTGTTGTAATAAGAAGCTATGAAATCTTTTGCTTCTTTCCTGGAAACCCATTTCAGAAATTATATTGTGAGGAAGGAGCAGCACACAATTAATGCTGAGCACAGCACTCAGAATTGCCAATGATCAGCCAATTCTTGACGATTCTCTGTGAAAAGACAGTAGACGTTGGCATAAATGTATATGTAGTCCAACAATTTAGAAGAAAATATTTGTATTTGATTTGGTTTAAACTCCCATTGATTCCAAAGGGAATTCTGCATAGGTCGGAGGGGGGCCAGTAACTGCAGTCTGATTGAAGGGACAACTTCAATACGGAGCTCCTTATGTCTGACAGAGAACAGCATTTGACTCATAGAGTGGCTGCAGAATCAGTCCCTAAATTAATATGTAAACTCAAGACCTGGGTGTATGACTTATTCATTGTTAAAGTGGATGATTCTGCTTTTTTTTAAATAGTACGCATGATCACAAGCAGAAGTTATTCACCTTCTTGCTTTGAAAATATTATGTTGTTAAAAAAGCGAGCTTGATCCAGCTGCACAAAAGATGCACATTACTAATTGACTTAAAGGGAGATAGGCTTAATTAAGAACTTCATGTGCAGTCGCTTTAGGTCTGATTCTTTGCCAAAGCAGTTAATTGGAATTGGCTTTGATGGAAGTTAGATTGGGCTATATAGTAGTACTGTTTAATATAGGAGCCGGAGATGATAAATGTTTGGGACTAGCATGCAAAAGGGCAATTTTATCTCCATCATTTTTGTGTCACTGAAAGATATGTGGAAGTGTTGGCAGAGCTATAGTCCTGCAAATAAGTCACCACTAACCAGGAAATAAAGAATTAAAGTAAAAGTGATTTTATTTTCTGGCTCATCAGCTTCGCTTGAGCCATTTTGTAGATTCACCCAAATAACTGAAAATAGTGCTTTCCTAAAAAAATCGACATCATGTGATTTGATTGCTCTCAGAACTCCTCTCTAACAATGGCCTCAAATTTGCAACACTATCCCCACTCTGGGACTTGAAGAAGCACAGCAATTTTTGAGATGCTTCAATTAAAACAGATTGTTAGTCAATAAGCTGCTAACTCCAAGCTGTTCCTTATCCATTGCCATGCCTTTATTATTTTGAAATAAGAGTGTCCACACTGATAGAATGTGGAAGTAGAGGGCAAAATTGTGAGAGATGAGGCCTCTTGTCTCCTCCTGAGGCAACAGGACTTCCTCGTCCCTTTGAATCTGTGCAGAGGTAAGCAACACGGGCCTGGCTGAAGGTTTTGCGCTGAGGCTTAAACCTGAGCTGTCTGCCTCATTAACAGCTGCTGCAGATTCCCCAATAGCTCAGCTGGTAGAGCAGTGGACTTGAACGGGAGGACCATGTGGAGGAGGCAGTGCTCATGTAGATCTGTCTGAGGGTGTTAGGGGGACCACTCCAAGATTTTGGTTAAGGGCCGCACTCTTCCATGATATTAATGGAGGAGATGCAGGGTCTGGGATGGAAGTTGGGTGCAGAGAGGAGCTTTGCGTAAGGGATTGGGGTGCAGGAGGGAGACTGGAGTCTGGGAGGGAGTTTGGGTGAAGGAGGTGGTTGTGACCTAGAGCAGGGGAATGGAGTTTAGAGGTTTGGGGTGTGACCTAAGATAGAAAGGGATTGTGATCTGAGAGAGGAGATTGGGATCCCAGATCTGGGAGGAGGTATATGCAAGAGGGGGACAGAGGGTTTGGGTATGTTGAGTGGGGGGGCAGAAGTTTAT